TCTGATTTCCCTCGTCAGCGTAAGGTTTCAAGCTTCCCCCGTGGTGCCATCCGTCTTCATTGTCCAGTAATACTCCTTTCTCTGGGTAAGCTTCTCTGTGTAAGCAGTTCAGTAGCCACTCGGGGTGCTTCTCCTTCTAGCCATGGTGAAAACCGATACTTGGAATACGCCTGCATATTCCCCTCCCCCACAGTACCAGCGACTGCATCTGGGGCCATGCATGCATGAAAGGTTTTAGAATTTAGGGACAGTCTCACTAAGTTGCCCAGGCTGGCTTTGAACTTGCCATCTTCTTACTTCAGCTTTCTGAGTAGCGGGGATGACCAGGTCGCTTTAATTTTCCTGGGTGGATAAAGAGGAAGGGGGTAACTGGGTCCCATGGAAGTCCCTGCGTAGTGTTTCCAGGAGCCTTCTGACTGCTTTGGTCTTAATTTTTTCTCATCCTCCCCAGCACCCACAATGCACTGCTAGCAGCCTTCTGGGCATGTGTGGAGACCTGCCCTGTGGTTCTCCTGGTAGCTAGTGATGCCAAATGCTCTGTGTCCTGGCCAGTCATTTGTATATCTTCCTTGGAGAAATACCTATTGAGATACTTTGCCCATTAAAAAATTATTGTTGAAGCCGGGCTGTGGTGGCGCACCCCTTTAATCCCAGCACTCGGGAGGCAGAGGCAGGCAGATTTCTGAGTTCGAGGCCAGCCTGGTCTACCGAGTGAGTTCCAGGACAGCCAGGGCTACACAGAGAAACCCTGTCTCGAAAAACCAAAAAAAAAAAAAAAAATTATTGTTGAATCATGAGAGTTCTTTATATATTATGGACACTAGACCTTTGTCAGATATAGAATTTGCTAGTATCTCCCCCAGTTCTGAGAACTGACATTTTGAGAGACAAGATCTTTTAGGTTTAGACTCCATGTTAGCCAGGTTATTCCCCAACAAATCTGTACCCCCGGGTTATAAGCCTGCCCCTGACACCTCGATTTCTAACCACTACCAACTGGGAAAGCAGAAGTTAAGTTTATGGTTTGGCTCCTAGCACCAGCCAACTATGTTAAAGGCCATAACGGTCCCCCAGTCAGATGTGTGCCAGGTTAGATACCCCCTTCTTGTCTCTATAAATGCTTGCCTGAATCCACTCCTCGGTGGACTTTTGGGGTTCACAAAAGCTTCCTAGCATAACACTTTCTTTTTATTGATGGGTATCTTTCAAAGCACCAGAAAGAATCTTTTTATTATTTTGTCTTTTTTTTTTTTTTTTTTTCAGAGCTGAGGACCGAACCCAGGGCCTTGCGCTTGCTAGGCAAGCGCTCTACCACTGAGCTAAATCCCCAACCCCAGAAAGAATCTTTTTAAAGTAACAGAATACATTTTAAGGGTTCCCCCCCCCTTTAAATGCAAAGCAGTGCAGAGCACTTTTAAAAAAGAAGAATAGATCGGCTTTCTGTTGAGATGATTCTGATTCGGTTTATATTTCGAGGCTAGCCTGGTCTACAGAGCCAGTTGCAGGCCAGTCAGAACCGCATGGCAGGACCTTGTCTCGACTAAGCAACAAAACCAGAAAAGCACCAGAGAGTGGGAAAGGACACCAGGGGGATTTGTTTGCCTTTGTCAGTAGGGCTGAAAGTCACATGGTCTCAGCTCGCTTCCTGGGGTTCAGCGCCTCCCACTATCTCTATGGGTCACAGTCATTACTACTGGGTCACACTGAATCAAGGCCACACATCATACAACAGCCTGCTGTAAACTTCCCTCTGAGGACCTGGCTCTCAGCCTGGGAAGTTGTCCCCTAGAGTACCTGGCACTTTAGAGTTATACAGGGAGGGTGTTCACCCAGAACGTCTGACTCTCTCTTGGGGTACACAGGGAAAGTGTTCCCCGTGAGGTCTGGCTCTGTCTGATGTGGATCGTTGCAGAAAGAGTGTCTTTCTAGTGTGAGTGGAGGCCGGGGTGTTTCCCCCAGCGCAGCTCACAGCTCTCTGCCAGGATCCAGCCCATCTCAGTATTGCAAAGGCTGGGAAACCCTGTGCAACCTCTGACATCACCAGGGGTCTTAGTTATGGTTTTACTGCTGTGAATAGACTCCATGACCAAAGCAACTCTTTTGTTTGGTTGGTTGGTTGGTTGGTTTGGTTTTTGAGACAGGGTTTCTCTGTATAGCCCTGGCTGTCCGGGAACTCACTCTGTAGACCAGGCTGGTCTGGAACTCAGAAATCCGCCTGCCTCTGCTTCCCAAGTGCTGGGATTAAAGAGGTGCGCCACCACCGCCCGGCAAAGGCAACTCTTAGAAGGACAACATTTAATTGGGGCTGGCTTACAGGTTCAGAGGTTCAGTCCATTTTCATCAAGGCAGGAGCATGGCAGCATCCAGGCAGGCATGGTGCAAGAGGAACTGAAAGTTCTACATCTTCATCTGAAGGAGACTACTGGCTTCCAGGCAGCTAGGATGAGGGTCTTGAAGCCCATGCCCACAGTGACATACCTACTCCAACAAGGCCACACCTACTCCAATGAGGCCACACCCACTCCAACGCCACACCTCCTCCAACAAGGTCACACCCACCTCAACAAGGCCACAGCTCCTCCAACAAGGTCACACCCACTCCATCAAGGCCACACCTACTCCAATGAGGCCACACCCACTCCAACAACACCACACCTCCTCCAACAAGGTCACACCTCCTCCAACAAGGTCACACCCACTCCAACAAGGCCACGCCCTCTAATAGTGCCACTCTCTGGGCTGAGCATATACAAACCACCGCATCAGGATATGTCTTAGCTATTAGTCAGTGTGGGATTTCATTGATTGAGACTTTATTTTTGAAACAGGATTCTTGGAGAAAAACAATGATCTGCTTTATAGACACCTGAAGGAGGTAAGTCTGAATCTTCACCCCCACATGTTGCTAACGGTGAGGCAAAAGTGGACGTTGGCTTTGGGTTTTCTGGAACTTTCTTGTCCGTGGATTATGTCCTCAACTGGGACTACAGGCAGCCTATAATCCTCTCTAGCACCCAGGAGGTAGCCGCAAGAGGGCCAGGGGTTTGAAGCTGTCCCTCAGCTACACATCAGTTTGCAGCCACGAACCGCATGAGGTCCTAATTGGGAAAAACAACAGAATTTCCTGTTTTAAAGCTGACTGAGATTTTATTAGATAAATACGAGGACTTATTTTATATGTCTCAATTTGATTAAATTAAGGACTTCTCCCAGAGGTGGTGGCACATACACCTGTAAACCCAGTGTTTGAGAGAGGAAAATGGGAGGATGTTGAGTTTCAGGCCAGCCTTGGCTAGCTAATGCAAGTGTCTAAAAGAAAAACGTAAAATGAAGATTAGAAGAGGAGGAAGATGGTGGTGATGGAGTCGTGGACTGGAGCTGGGGTTGAGCATATGCAAGGCACCAAGTGTGATTTATAAGTAAGAGTAAAGGCTGGAGAGATGGCTCAGTGGTTAAGAGCACTGACTGCTCTTCCAAAGGTCCTGAGTTCAAATCCCAGCAACCACATGGTGGCTCACAACCATCTGTAATGGGATCCGATGCCCTCTTCTAGTGTGTCTGAAAATAGCTACAGAGTATTCATACTGTACATAAAATATACATAATATATATTAATAAAGATATATTAATATGTATAAATATATATGATATATGTCATATATCATATATAAGTAATATATAATATGTATAATAAATAAATCTTTTTAAAAGGCCATATATATATATATATATATATATATATATATATATATATCTTCATCTGAAGGCTGCCAGCAAAATACTAACTTCCAGGTAGTTAGGATGAAGGTCTTCAAGCCCACACCCACAGTGACACACCCACTCCAACAAGGCCACACCTCCTCCAGCAAGGCCACACCTCCTCCAGCAAGGCCACACCTCCTCCAGCAAGGCCACACCTCCTCCAGCAAGGCCACACCTCCTCAAACAAGGTCTCCAACAAGGCAAAATATGTATATGCATATATATAAGATATATATGCACACACACACACACATATATATAAACAAGAATAAAAAGGGGTACATTTTCCTTATAGTAGATTATTTTCAGAGATTAATGAAGCAGGACCGGCTAATACAGAGTCTTGGCTTCACTGCACCATGTCTGTCTCCTGAGAGCGGACATCTGCCGGGTTCTGAGTCCCCCCGCTAGTGGCTGAGCTAGGCTGTGTGTTCTCCGTTCCCTTCCCCTGCATAGCAGGGCACGGCACCTTGCACGCTGGCTCTCCGGCCTTCTTAGGACTGATTGTTCATAGATTGTCTTACTCCCCAGCACTAAGGTGGGCTGGAGACAACTCTTGCTTAATCACGTTACAGAAAACTAGACGCCTCCTCAAGCACCCAAGGCAGAGGCCGTGGCATTTGGTCCTGTGCTCTTTGGCAGTGCTGGGTGTGGAACCCAGGGTCTCACTACAGGAGAAAACAATCTACGGCTCTAGCCCCTCATTCCCCATGTCGTTCTTTGTGTCTCTTCCTACTCCCCTGTGGTGGGGAGTATCTATTTTATCCATTGAGCAGGCGGCTCTGTGTTCCCTGATGGCCTCTAGGATTCAGGACAGCAGCGAGTTCAGTGTGGCCTCTCTTCACGCAGGTGCTGTGCAGCTCCAAGAATAGCATCCTGAGGGAATGTTTCCTGGTGGCGGAGCTTGAAAATCGGAGGCGACCACCCACGGTGGGTGAGAGAGAGCTGCTGGTGTGAATTTAGTGAGGGAACAAACATCATAGGGTAACAGTGACTACTCTCTCCTCTCACAGAAAACTACAAAAAGCATGTGTAAACTTTGTATCAATTCACTCCTTTTCAGACATTAACCAAACCAGAGCAGACAGCTGTACTAGGTGTGGGGGTGTAGGGGTGTAGGGTGGGGGTTCCTTGCCCTTAAGGGGTTATAGTCTCGGAGCTAAAGGATGTGAGGAAATACTGTCAAATAGAGTTGGACCTAGGGACAGTGGGCTGGACCCAGTGGTGGCCTTGCTCCTTAAGATGCTGGGCCTGTGTGAGCCAGCTTTCCCGCCCTGTGACAAAATCTTTGAGGAAAAAAGCCTTAAACGTTGATTTCGTTTCTGGTTGTGGGAGGCACAGAGCACCGCAGCAGAGAAGGTGTGTGGAGAGATTGGGGGTAAATCCAGCTTTCAAAGTGAAGTACTTCTTCCCAGGAGGCCCCACCTTTTAAAGAGCCCATCAACCCCCACACCAGTAGGCTCTGACTCTGCTGATGACGTCAGAGCCCTCCGCTCACTGTAAAAGCTGCTGCACTGGGGACCACGGATTCAGGGCATGGGCCTTTGAAGTACACCTCAGGACTCAGTCATAATACTGTGGCTGCGCTCCTGAGCCAAGAGTCTGGCTGATGCTGAGCGGGAAACCTAGCGTCTTTGCACACGGCGCTCTCCCCAGCAACAGCCCCAGCCTCTGTCTACACGCTTCTCCGTGTTTCGTCCCACTCTCTTTTAGTTAGGAAAATCTTCATGTGCCTGAGAAGCCGATGACCCCAAAGCACTGGGACCTGGCCTTCCCAAAACAGGCCATTTCCAGCCTCCAGGCCTTGGGCAAAACAGGAATAAGCAGAATTCTGGCCTGGGGTTGGCGGTTTGGGGGATGGAGGCAACTGTGCCTGTGCTGTGTTCTGTCTTCAGAGTTCAGCAGGAAGCAGGGGTCTTCTCAATGTGTCCTCTCACCGCATAGGTTGGGACTCAGTTTAAGAACAGCCTGAGCAGCCTCCTGGAAATTCTCATCTCCAAGGAGCCTTCCTACATCCGCTGCATCAAGCCCAATGAGAGGAAGGAACCCAGTGAGTTACCCACCCACTGAGCCCTGAGCTCGGGATGGGGGAAGCAAAGCAGCGTGGCCATGGTCAAGAACTCCAAACCCACCACAGCCTTCTCCTTGGACAGGAGCTCTTTCCCTTCTCAAACAATAGGGGGCTGGGATATGGCTCAGTGGGTGAGGCGCTTGCTTTGCAAGCATGAGAATCTGAGTTCGAATCCCTAGAACCCACATAAAGCCAGACATAGTAATCTGTGCTCCTAACACAAGTGGTCCCATGGAGAGGTGAGAGACAGAGACGGAATCCCTGGTTAGCTGGTGGCTAACCTGGTGTGCTAGTACACCTCAGAAAACAACAGGAGATCCTATCTGAAGCAAGATGGAAAGTGAGGACTAAGACTTGAGGTTGTACTCTTACACACACACACACACACACACACACACACACACACACACACGTGTGCATGCACACACACTAAAAAGTAAACTTATAGAGAAGGGCTGGCCATGATTAATCTCAGGAGGTTGGGGAGGGGCGGAGTCAGGAGGCAGCCATGTTGGGAGGGGTGGGGTCAGGAGGCAGAGCCAGGTTGGGGAGGGGCGGAGTCAGGAGGAAGACAGACTGGGGGCGGGGTCAGCAGGTGGAGCCAGGTTGAGGAGGGATGGGGTCAGGAGGCAGAGCCAGGTTGAAGAGGGGTGGGAGCTGGCTTGTGCGCAGGAGCAGGCTAGACACACACACACACACACACACACACACACAAAGAGAGAGAGAGAAAAGAACACTAGACGCTAGACTTATTAAGAGGGACGCCTTTGATGCTCTGGAGGACGCTCTGCTCAGAGCCTAGAGATGCCAGGCAGGTGTCCAAGTTAACAGGAATCAAAGTGACAGATGACAGGAGAGTTCCTTACAACTGTAAGCAATCTCCCCTAAATCTGTGTGACTCGGCCACTTTCTAAAAACTCTTCTTCCACGACCCAGGCAGGTGGCATACTAGAGAAGAGGGTGACAGGGCCTGGAGCCGTGTCTTCCCTGGGGAGGTAGCAACAGTAAGCCCTTCCGCCAATTGTTGCTTCCTGAGAGTCCCAGCCACATCAGCGGACCTTGGGACTGTTTATACGGAGAAACGAGAATTCCCTACCAAATCCTTCTACCTAAGAAAGACAGCCGAAGCTTAGTAACAGGTTCCCGTGGCTTGGCGGAGCCTGGAGCAGCCCAGAGCCTCGATTTAAACGGAGCCGAGGGAGCGTTTCCGGTCACTCTCTTCTATTTCTCCAAAGGCAGATTTGATGACTTCCTCATCAGCCATCAGATCAAGTATCTGGGGCTAATGGAGCACCTGCGTGTGCGGCGGGCTGGCTTCGCCTACAGGCGCAAGTACGAGCATTTCCTGCAAAGGTGAGTTGCGTCTGTCGAGCCCCAGTCCTTTAAGCTGGTCTCTGGGAGACAGTGTGGTCCATAGGGTGGCATTCTCTAGGGAGCTATGATTAGATCCAAATTGCAAGGGCCGTGAGAACAGAACACACTAACATTGGTTTTCCTGCAAAACCAGGACCCTTTCTGCTGAGTTCACTTAACTCAGCTTCCTGCAGTACTCAGAGCCGCCGCCAAGGGGGCGCACTGCCCATCCAGACCCCTAAGGGTTAGTGCCTCTGTCCTGGGCTATGAAGAGCATTGGGCAAAAGAGTGGCCGTGTCCTGAAGGCACTGGCTTTGAAACCCCAGACGGGTCAGAATTCTCCCCGGGCCTCACGGATGTGACCTATCCCTTTACTCACAGCAGGGATTAAAGCGTCCGGTGTTTATAAAGGTTTAATGCCACACCCACAGCAGCTTCTTTGGGGACGGGGCGGCACCTGGCCGCTCTACAACGATGGCAGGGCGTTCTTGGGTGAGCATCGGAAAGTGGCCATCTTCATACATCAAGATGGCTGTCTCGGACCATTATGAGGCTTCCTTTTGAGTTTAAGCATGGTAGGGACCACAGAGCATTTTTCATTGCCCTTTCCCTGTGGTTCTGGGGAAACCCTCCACTGCCTGCTGTCTACCTGCCGTTGATGCTGTCCGTATCTGGTTTTCTTAACCTGGCATCAAGTGAGGATCTTGGGAGGCCACGGTTATCCCTCATCTTATGTCTTAGGTCGATCCCCACTGCACCCCAGATGCCCCCTTCTCCCTGCTGGTATTCTGAGTGCCTCCTGGGCCCCCCTATGGGCAGGGTATGCTTCCTTGTCCTAAGGCAGTTCATTTTCTGGTGGGAGGGATGTGTGACTGAGTGTAGGGAAGTCCGTGGAAGACAGGAGCATGTCAGGCTAGAGGATGACTTTAGAGGGACTCCCGAAGGTATGCGCTGGGACCCGATAAAGCCAACACCAGAGCCAACGTTACTCTGAAAGAAATATTTTTTCCAGCTGGGTGTGGAAATTCACAACTTTAATTCCAGCACCCAGAAGGGGAAAGGCAGGCAGATCTCTGTGAGTCTGAAGCTAGCCTGGTCTATATACCAAGCTCTGACCCTGTCTCAAAAAAAAAAAAAAAGTCTCAGAAATGTTTGAGATCCTGTCTGGGGGTGGGGGGTGGAATATGGGAGAGGCTTGGAGGAGGAGATAGCTTAGGGGAGAAAATGTTTGAGGCACAAGTGTGAGGACCAGAGTTCTCATCCCCAGCATGTACTCACATAAATGCTAGGCGGGTCTAACAGCCAGCGTGTAACCCCAGCACTCAGGAGTCAGATGGGATTCCCATGCCAACGGGCTCCCTAGACTCGCCAACTCAGCAGACTGAGTTCAGTGAGGGCCCCTGCCTCGGTGAACAGTGAGGAGCAGCTGAGAAAGACACCCAGCATCCGCCTTACACACACACACACCCACACACCCACCCATACACACACATACACACAGAGCACATGGGTACACATCCCTCATGTCTAGACACATGTAAACATGCTCCGACATGCATGCATGCATGCACACATGCTCACATGAAACCAAGCATGTCACTTTTCCTCCCCATGCTTGAGCACATCTGTTGCCTGGCTGGCTGCCCCACGTTGGGCCGTCATAGACAGTACTGCATGTGGCTCTGTGGACACGGGATGCAGCTCTCGGCTACACACCTAGGAGAGTGAGTCACTCGGCTCACTGTGCGGCAAGGGCTCGGCTGTGTGAGCCCCTGTCTCTCATCCCCTTTCTTGCCCTGTATTTGCTGAGGTGACTGTACCTTGGCTGATACACTTCAAGGGGATCCAGGAGGTCTCCAGGGGTGTGTGGAGGGCAGTGTAGGGTGTCCTGGTGGCTTCTCTATGTCCTTCTCCATTCCTGACAGGTACAAGTCACTGTGCCCAGACACCTGGCCGCACTGGCGTGGACCCCCAGGAGAGGGCGTCGAGCGGCTGGTCAAGTATATTGGCTACCAACCTCAGGACTACAAGTTAGGAAAGTAAGTGGCCTGGAAACCCCAAACTGTCACAGCTCATGCTTATGTGCCAATCCGTGTGGAGCCCATGTGTTCAGACTTTGACATGGAGGTACAGTGTTGTCATCTGCAAAGTTCTCACTGAGATCTGCTCAATTGAATTGGGAGATAAAAGAAACTCAAAGTCCTCATTCTCGGGCTGGAGAGGTGGCTCAGATGTTAAGAGCACCGGCTGCTCTTCCAGAGGACCTGAGTTCAATTCCCAGCAACCACATGGTGGCTCACAACCATCTGTAATGGGATCCGATGCCCTCTCCTGGTGTGAGGACAGCTACAGTGTGCTCATACACCTTAAATAAATAAATACATCTTTAAAAAAGAAATCCTTATTCTCAGGTGCTATGGCTGCCAGACCAGGAGTTGGGCATGAGGATACTACCTCGTTGGAGACATAGTTTGCAAGCCAATGAATTCTTCTACTCACTAAGTTAAAATGTAGCTGAGTATGTTACAAGGAGAAGCATGGTCCGAAGCCAGGTGTTCTAAGGCTGGCCCCATGGTTAGGCAGAGCCTCTGCCTACAAAATGAAGAGGGGCCCAAGATGGAGCGCTGCCTGTGCTGGCCTAGTGTCTCTCACTGCTCAAATGAGCACAGCACCACCCAGAATGCTGGCTTCACCTTGCTTCATCCTTGGTATCTCATAATGGTATTCTAGAACATCGGGTTCCACTGAGAGGGAGTGGTATCCTGGAGCAGAGAGCTTTTCTGTGAGTGGAATGCTTTCAGGTACTCAGTCGGATGAGCCAGGATGGCTTTCTGTACTGTGAGGGTCACAAGGCATGGCTGCCTCATGTTAAGGCCACATGAGGAGCAGTTCACAGACAGCAGGGTCTGCCTGCTTCAGGGGTTCCTGCTTCCAGATCTACCAGTGAGCTACCTGTCAGTTATGGTCTGCACAGCTGGCCTCTCTCTTCCAGCTTCATTCATCCATCCTCATCCCCGAGAGGGCTACACGAATCTGTCCTCATTCTGTTGTTGCCTAAGCTCTGGGAATGGGCTGTGCTACCAGCCCCACCCAACTTCCCTTAAACCCAAGAATAAAAGACACACACACAGAGTCTTTCCTTTTCAACTTGCCTTTGGATACAATTGCTGGGCGCTACTATGTCACACCTGGAAAAGCGTGCCCTTAATAATATTCTTATTTCTGCTCCTCCCACCTGCCCTAAACTTTAGTTGCTAAGATACATCTAGTCCCTGCTAAACATCCCTGACAACTCTTACCTATAGGAGCAGCCACAGGCCCCTGCTCTACCCAAGACTTCATGTTTGGTCAATTTTACTCCATCAGAAGCCTGGCAAACTCTCCTCACCTTCCCTGCATCTATCTCTTTTTTCTTCAGGGACCTGGAAGTCCCGCCTATTCCTTCCGCCCAGCAATTGGCCCATGGCTTTCTTTACTGACAGATCAAGAACCAACTGGGGAACAGGACCTTAGCATCAGAACTGCCCATACATTCTATAGCCCCGGACTTGGCATCCCAGGGCATGGTATGCTGCTGGCCCCCTCAGCAGCTGCTCTGGGAAGTCTCCAGCACAAGGTGCTGTGTAGTTGGCACAGGCGAGGCCCCATATTACCCTGCCTGAATGCCCAGAAGCGTAACTGCGAGCAACTTCAGGTTGCACAGCAGATCTGTGGGGCTGTGTAATAAGTCACAGGAGCAGTAATGCATTCTCTCACAGCCCAGTGTCCAGGATAAAGGCATAGGCAGGCCAGGCTCTGTCTGAAGGTCGTCAGCCAACTCCTGAAGCTCTTCCGGCAGCTCCTGGCCTTCCTTGGCTGGTAGAATCACTCTTGCCTGCTAGCGTCCCACAACCTAGCTCTTAAGAGGATGCTGGACTGGATTTACTCTAACCTACTGTCTTCCTTCTACCATACTCTAAGCACATCTGCAGACAGCCACCTCTCCCTCCACCCCTCCCCCAAAGGTCACATTCTAAAGTTCTGGCTGGACATGCATTGGGGGTGGGACACTACTCAGCCATCATAGGTGGCAGCCGACCAGTCGATAATTGTGTTTCTTTTTGCTTCTAGAACCAAAATATTCATTCGCTTCCCCAGGACCCTGTTTGCTACTGAAGATGCCTTTGAATTCAGTAAACATCAACTAGGTATGATATTCTTTTTGTCCCAGTTTCAAGAGCTATGAACACATTTAGCCAGGGAGAAGGAAAGAAAAGCCTTAAACATGGCTGCCTGATGTGTCAGAAGGTATCACTTAAGAACCAGGGATAAAGAAACAGGACTATGAGATTATGAGGGGACACCTCTGACCTGATGGGCTCCGAGGGCAGATGTGGACATCACGTGTCTGCACGTCTCATTCTGTGCCAGCACCCTCACGTACGCTGAAGAGTAAAGTCACGGGGGACCTCAGTACAGGCTTCACCACTTCTTGCCCATGTCTGATGACAACAGGTGTGCCTTCAAACCCACAGCCAGGGTGTGTTTGTGAATGCAAGTGACAGGGTTGGATTGGGGCAGGACAGGGTGGGGGACCAGGTACTTCTTTAACTGCAGATCTAAGGGGTCCTTGCTCTCTGCCTTGTACACTGACAGTCGTGTTCCCAGAACAAGCTTGTGAATGGTCACAGCTGCTCCATTCAGGGGAGCTGAGACACAGAGGCTCTGTGAGGCTATTGAGAACCATAGCTGATCAGTAGCAGAGCCGGGGGCTTGAACTTGGACCTGTCCGGTTTCAAGGTCTGACAGTTGTACATGCTAGGCACGCTCTCTGCCACTGAGTTACCTCTCCAGCAGCAGGCTCCCATGGCCACCCACCTGGCTGAACTGCAGGAACTGGCTTATTAGGCTTGGGGTAGGGGGGAGGGGAGGAGGTTAGGTCCGCATGAACATGGCCTCTGGTCCTCAGTCACTATGTGGAGGGGGTGATGAAGGCCAGAGCTGTGGGGTGTTTTGGGGTTCACGCCGCTCAGTGTTGGTGGCATGAGACATCTCCATGTGAGCCTGATGCCCATGTCCTTCCTTGCCTTGTGGATGGGTTGTGAGGATGAGCTGTGAACTGAGCACCAAACAGTGAGCCTCTTCCTCACCCCGTGGAAGGCAAGAGAACCGCAGGGCGTCTGGGAGCCAGGTCTAATGGAAGCAGCTGTTCCAGTCTCTCCAACACTCTTAGCTCCCGAGAATGGTTCCACTGCAGGCTCTCGGGGGCCCACTCCGGAGGTCAGTCCTGCTTCTGGTAATCACGATCAAAGGCCTAGAAGCCAGTTCACCAAAACTTTCATTTTATTTTAAGTGTCAAGAATCCAGGCCACATACAAAGGCTGCCTAGGAAGAAGGGAATACGTGAGGAAGAGGCAAGCAGGTAAGGGCTGTGTGACGAGCCTTTCCCCTGTCCATCCTTCCTTACACCTTTGTCTGGGGCTGCCTCGGGCCTGGTTCTGGGAACGCAGTGCCTAGGCCGGTCCTATGCACAAGTTTTACACGCCCACATGTAAATAAGGTATGTGTGTCCGTTAGCACACACGCTCATGTGTGCTTGTGCAAGCTGGAGGCCGATGCTGGGCATCTTCTCTCTCTCTTCTCTGAGACAGGGGGATGACTGACTTCACCAGAATGGCTAGCAAGTCCTAGAGATCCTTCTGCCTCTACTGTCCCCTAGCCCTGGGATCGTAAGCATAATCCATACCCAGCTTTTTTGGGGGGAGGGAGTACTGGGGATTCAAACTTAGGTCCTTGTGCTTGCAGAGTGAAGCACTTTACTACTGAGCCATCTCACCAGTCCATAAGAGGATTTCTTGAAAGTTTTACATATCACTTAACTCCTCTGGAGTCATATTTTCAAGCAATGCTCCGACCCCACATTTCTTAGACCTTTTCTTGAATTTCATTCTTACTACATTTTTCTTTAGTTTTACCATCTATGGATGTCACTAAACAGCCTAGTTTGGCAGCCGTTGGTATTTTGTGGCTAGTTCTGTTTTCTGAATTGTTTTTGAAATTCAACCAGGACCTATTTGCCTCTTTTTTTTTTTTTTTTGAGACAGGGTTTCTCTGTGTAGCCCTGGCTGTCCTGGAACTCACTCTGGAGACCAGGCTGGCCTCGAACTCAGAAATCCGCCTGCCTCTGCCTCCCAAGTGCTGGGATTAAAGGCGTGCGCCACCACTGCCCGGCTATTTGCCTCTTTTCAAAGCTGTATACTATTCCTTTAGGACAGAGATTTAGGGAGCATTTCTAATCTGTGGGTCTTACAGTCTCCGAAGTTACTCAACTCTGCCGCTGCTGCCTCAGGATTGCTTTAGGCAATATGTAAAAGAATGGATGTAACTGGGTTGATATCAAACTTTATTATATAAACAGGCAGCTGCTCTTCCGACCACAGTCTGCCAGCCCCGGGCTCTGAGTGCTGGAATGTGTGATTTCCAATTGCCTGCTCTCCAAAAGAAACACTGCTGTTCTGGGGGAAGAAAATGCATTCTGAAAACCCAAAGAGACAGACAGACAGACAGGCAAGACAGGCAGACAGACAGGCAGACAGACAGACACATACACACAAAACATGGAGACAAGCAGGAGCTAATTTTTCATGTTGCTGTTTATGAATCTCCATCTTTGAATGTGGCAACTGAAAGTCAGCACTGGAGGGCCTCAGCAGGGCCCCTCCTGTAACTCTGAGCTTCTGCAAAGGTTCCCAGCCTCTGCTGTCAGTACATGCAGGCTTTGAGTTGCAGGTATGGCATGCACCCCTCGCTTGCAACCCTCTGGGACCAGTGGAGCCCTCTAGTGGGCTGACATGTGCAGAGTGGGAAAGCCCACTGTGTGAATGTTCTGCCTTCTAATGGCAGCAGTGGACTCTTCCAGCCACCAAGTTAGAAGCCCACTGGCGTGGAGTCCTGGCTCGGAAGGAGATCAAGAGGAGGAAGTGGGCGGTGCAGATCATACGCAGGTAAGGTCTCAGCACCCCGGGCCCGGCGTACTGCAGTATGGTCATGGGCCTGGTGGGGTTTTTGTGGTTGTTTTTTAAGGGGCAGGAATGAGTTATGTGTGTGAGTGTGTGCAAGTGTACGTGCCTACGCAAATGGGTGTGGGTGCATTCCAGAGAGGCGCTGGCGCTCTGGGGCTGGAGTTAGTTGTTTGTGAGCTGCCTGCCGGGGGAGCTCCGATCTGAAGGAACTTCAGTCCTCCTGACTGAGAGCAAAGGCACCAAGCCATCTCTCTCGCTGTGGTCTTGGTTTATACAGAAAAGCTCTGCTCTCAGAGCGTGCTGGGAACTCAGCTGTCTCTCTGCTCTGGATCCCACCTGTTAGGTCTCAGTGTCACTGACTGCTCTTAGCTCCCTCAGTCACGTGACTTCCAGAGCCAGGCGGCGAGAGTGAGCGAGTCTCATAAGTGGTCATCAGACAGGATACTGTGGGGACTGACTGCAGGCAATCTGGAGGCACAGGCCACTGAGGCCAGCTGTCACTGATTCCCCCCCCCCCCAGGGGACATGAGCCCAGCTGTGTAGCCAGCCAGCCTTCCTCTTCAGAGGAAGCTGAAGCCTGGCTTTTATGTAATGCTGCTTACTTTTAAAATAAAGGTTTATTTAGTATATGGATGAGTACAGTGTAGCTGTCTTCGGACACATCAGAATCCAACCCATTACAGATGGTTGTGAGCCACCATGTAGTTGCTGGGAATTGAACTCAGGACCTCTGGAAGAGCAGCCAGTGGTCCTAACCACTGAGCCATCTTTCCAGCTTCATGCTGCTCATTTATAAATTGCCAACCAACTCAAGCTAGTTCAAAGAGAAAGCAGTGTGGGTGGAACACAGCACACTGCTGGGGCAGGTGTGGTGGGGTGGCCGCATTACGGGTCCCCGGCCTGTGTGCCTGTGTAAACCCTCCTGTCACTTTCCTTTCTAGATTCGTCAAGGGTTTCATCAACCGTGACAAACCCCTTTGTCCTGACAACGAGGAGTTCGTCGTGCTTGTGAGGAAGAACTACATCCTGAATCTCCGCTACCATGTGCCGAAGAACGTGCTGGACAAGAGCTGGCTGAGACCTCCGGGCATCCTGGAAAATGTAAGTCTGAACTGGGATGCTGATGTTACAGGTGGCGTGGGCACCGGTAGCCGACAGGGCTGCTTTTCTAAGTCTTTATTTGCAAGTGTGTGTCAGAAGGAATGGCGTACCTCAGCATCCGTCAGCAGGGGTTATAAACCCAACAGACACCTGCTTAGACAGAGCCTTTTCAAAATACAGGTTGTTACTACGTAACCCAGGCTGGCCTTGGATTTGTAAACTTTGGGCCCCAGCATCCCAAGCCCTGAGATTGCAGATATGTGAGAGTGCTCTGGATAGGTTCCAACCACGACGTAGCAGTCTTGAAGCTAAGTGACTGCCGTGATTTCCACAAAGAATGTTCTAGAACAGTGGTTCTCAACCTTCCTGATGCTGTGACCCTTTTGTGCAGCTCATGTTGTGGTGATTCTGAACTATAAAAATTATTTCGTTGCTACTTCGTAGCTGTAGTTTTGCTACTGTTATGAACCATATGTAAATATCTGATAAGCAGGATATCTGATAGGTGACCCCTGTGAAAGGGGTCATTTGACTCCCAAAGGGGTCACAGCCCAAAGCCCACAGCTTGAGAACTATTCTATGGTGGTAGCTACTGCAAGATTCCTGGGCTCCACTGAAGCCCTACTGTGTAAGATGCCGAGTCTCCTTTCTACAGCCCCCCCCACCACCACCCATAGTGGCTCTAATCATACCCAAGTTGGCAAAACCTCCTTCAGCAGTGCTGACCTGCTGGAGGGACTGGGCTCACGGTCTTGAATGTAAGCTGCTGCTGTCTCACTTGATTGGATACCATGTCCTAAAGAGCTGCCATGTGGGGTGTCGCAGCCCAAGGCAGGGAGTGGGGGAGTGAGAGAGGAGTTGTTCTCCACACAGGCTTCCAATCTGCTCAGGAGGATGTGCGTGAGGAACCTGGTTCGGAAGTACTGCCGTGGGATCTCAGCCGAGAGGAAAGCCATGGTAGGACAGATGTGTGGCATCTGCACGGTGGCAGGGGACCAGACTATTAGCACTAAGTCGACTTTACCGGCTACCGAGGAGCTACCGAGGAGCTGAGGGTTACACTATTCCCATGACTCGTGGAGCAGCAGAGGAACTTCAGCAGCTCCCATCAGCGTCCCTATGTTACCATGACAACAGACTGGGGTGGGGGGGCTGTAGTTCGAGAGGCAGGATTCCCTGCGCTAGAGGACACTTACCTGTAGGGTTTTCTGTGAAGGGCTGCAGACTCCATCTTTGAGGCTTTCTAGGCTGTATGCTATGACAAGAAGCCAGACAGGTAAAAGTGAACACCACAGCTGTGTCCCAGTAAAGCTTTATTTATAAACACAAGCAGCAGGCACCAGGCTGCCTCTGGGCTGGAGTTACAGAGCTGACTTAGGAGAGGTGGTCCTTGAAGCTCTGAAACCTCCACCCTGGGAGGAATAAGGAACCCTCAAAGTGTCAGTCCCCTCTCTACCAGTGTAAGCCATAGTGTAGCTCGTTGCGTAAGCTCCTGTCTGAACTTCCCAGGGCCGCCTGCTGGATGCTCTGACCTGTTGTTGTTACAGATGCAGCAGAAGGTGGTCACGAGCGAGATATTCCGGGGGAGGAAGGAAGGCTATGCAGAGAGCTTAAACCAGCCGTTTGCCAGCAGCCGGCTGGGTGAGCGTGCTTTCTGGGAGGGCTGGGGACCCTCTCCTCAGCTGAGCCTCAGGGGAAGGAGCACAGACCCAGCCCGCAGCAGGCCTTCCTCAGAAGGCTGGTGGTGACTCCCGCTGTTCTGGTTCCCTCCCTAGATGAAGGCAAGATAAATCCCAAAGTGCTTCAAGTGCTCGGCAGTGAGAAAATCCAGGTACGGCCTCCACCAAGACCCTTATTATGTCTGAGGCCAGGGCGTGTTTTCCCCATGAGTGTCTGGAAGTGCTGCTTAAACACAGGGTACAGCTACGTTCATTAGGGCTTTCCCCCCATCCTAATGCACTCTGGGCATTAACCAACATTACCAAGTAGTGTTTGCCAACAGAAGCCTACTGCCTACTGTCTTCTGTCTGTCATCCCCAAACAATCTTGGTTTGTTTCCCTATGAAACTGTAGCCAGGACCTTTAGCATGAGACCCCATGTTGGTGGGGAGCACTGAACTGATGACCTCAGTCCTGACCATGGTCTCTCAACAGTGGCCAGGAGGAGGTCACTGCTTCCGATCCTACGTGGCTTGTGGGGTAACTGAGGGCTGAGTGAGGGGATCTTGCTCATGTATGTGCTTGGTGGCCACTGTCACTTGCCTGGTTCTGGAGAAAACCAGCAGGAGAGCCTAAGAGAACCATGTACGCTCTCCTCTCTGCTGGCCTCTCAGTGCAGCCCTGGGAGGCTGGAGCCTTGGCCTGTTTCCTCAAGGGGCCGAGTAGGAAGGCAGAGCCCAGGACGGAACTCTTCCAGATCCAGGGTGACTCCGCTAAAGCTGAGTTAGAAAGGCTCTGTCCCCGGCCCTTGGGTGAGGCGGCCTTCCCCTCCTGGTGACACTAGCCGCCTTGCAGTATGGTGTCCCGGTCATCAAGTATGACAGGAAAGGCTTTAAGGCGCGGCAGCGGCAGCTCCTCCTCACGCTGAGGTCGGCATACGTGGTGGAACTTTCCAAAATCAAGCAGAAGATAGAGTACTCGGCCCTGAGAGGTGAGTGAGTGCTGGGCAGTCTCGATGGGTCCCCCCCCCCCTTCTCTCTCCCTCCCTCCCTCTCCCCCTCCCCCGCCTCTCTGAGATGGGTCACGCACTGAGCCTTGGAGCTCAGTTGGATGTACCTCCCTGGCCCACCCCAGCCTAATGCTGGGCTACAGATGTGCACAGTATATCTCACTTCTGTGTGGGTGCTAGGTACCCAAACTCAGCCATCTCCACAGGCCTCATTTTGTTTTTCTTTTTCCTCCCAAGACAGGGTTTCTTTGTGTAGCCCTGGCTGCCCTGTAGACCAGGCTAGCCTTGAAATAGCAAATTCGCCTGCCTCTGCTTCCTGAGTGCTAGGATTAAAGGCTTGGGCTATCACCACCCAACCCCCCCCCCCCCCCTTTTTTTTTTAAACTAATGCCAGACTCTGGATCTGTCTTAGGTGTCTCCATCAGCAGCCTTAGTGATGGAATCCTGGTCATTCACGTCTCACCAGCGGACAAACAGCAAAAGGTAACTATACCTTCCGGCCTCCCCCAATGGTTTTGGCAACAGCAGCTCGCTTTCCTGAGCTGAACGCTGCAGAACCTCTGCATTCAAACCACTCATCTGGAACTCACTGTCACCCCTCTCTCTCCACAGGGGGATATCATCCTGCAGTGTGAACACATATTTGAGGCAGCCACTAAGCTCGCCATGCTGGTTAAGAAGGAGCATGTCGTCCGTGTCGTCCAGGGAAGGTAGGGGCTTATCCACTGTGACAGGGCTGCTGGCGTGAGTCCCACCTGCCTCCTGCACAAAGGGAGTCCTTCAGTAGGGACTGGGAGGTGCCAGAGACTGCCGCACTGTGCCTCTGTAGTGAAGAGCACTCCTGTCTCCATCCCAATCTTGGGCACAGGGAACATCTGTCACCATCTCCTTCCTCAGTTTTCAAAGGGGGTGCTGACGTTCTGTGTGCCCAGAGGGTGCGGGTCTGCCACCGCTGTGGCGGGTTGGCAGCGGTACTGGTGCTTCAGCAGAAGGGCTGGTTTCTTTAGGGGGTGAGAGAATCGGCTGAGGCAGAGAACTCAATCCTCTCAGTGACGGTGGAGCAGCCCCTTAGTGTTCTATTCCCACGCAAGGCAAGCAAGCTCGGGCTACCCAGTGTTCCCGAGGCGCAAGGCTGCCAAGGGAGACTGTGAGGACTCCTGCTCTCTGCCCCTGACGGGTGAATTCACAGGTAGGGTAGAGAGCCGGTGGGGACTCTTAAAAGTGCATCTATTCTGATGGAGCCCGGAGGATGGGCTCCTGGGGTGGCTGTGAGCAGGAACAGGGCAGGCCGCTCTTATAAACACATCACATGGCCCTTTAGAGAGCCAGACTGCTGGACTGAGACTACAGAGGCCCCACTTGTGAGGGCAGCCTTCTGATGATAGCCAACAGTGAAACAAAGCGGGATGGCTTCCCGAGGAAGGGAGTTTCTCTTGCAGACTAAAGGGGGTGTCAGTAACCCATCACTCGATGCCTTTTAAGCCTACAGTTCCACGTCGGCCCTGGGAGAGAAGGCACGATAGTTTTTGAGGCTGGAGAGGAAGACCAAGTCTATAAGGATAAAAACGGACACTTAAGAGTGGTGAGTGGCTGCCTGCGGGAAGTGTGAGCCAAAACTGACCGTCCCCTGCAGTCCCGACGGGTACTCTGGAAGCGAGCCACAAAATGGTACTTGAAAGACAGGCGGGTGGGTGTCACCAACCAGAGGGTCACAGGAGATGGTTGTCATTCTCAAGAGCCCAGCTGTCTGTCTGCTGGCTCATAAAGGCTCTGCCTTGTGCTCAGGACCCAGCCAAGATGAAAAGGTCCGAGTCTAAGGAGGTTCAGATCTGAACCTGCTGCCTCGTGTGTGTACCCGCCAGTCAGAAGGTCTCCTCACCGTCCTCGCTTGGTCGCAGCAGGGTGAGGATGTGTCCTGCCAAGCTGCAAGGAAGTGAACGTGCAAAGCAGACGGGGGTGGAAACCATGAAATGTTATCTTCTGTATACATTTAGTTTATATAACTTATCTATATGTAAAACAGGTTTGCAGGTATAAATAGTTCACAAGTGCCTTTTGCAGCATAGTTACCCTCCGTCCCCTCAGGGACAAGTAAAAGAAAGTGGTTACTTTGAATGAGAAGTAGGTGATCTTTTAGTGCTGTGAGGAGCTGCCTGGACTCTGTGGCCACCCAGTCCATCATCCCCCATGCCTATCCAAGGCAGAAGATGTTGACGGGTCGGTCTCTCTGTACCACTTTCTAACCTGGCTGCTCCCTTAGGAGGTAGAGGGGATCCCGGTGGTAGCTGCTTCCTCCAGGGCAGATGGTTGGGCTCTAAAGCCAGGTGCTCCTCTCCCCAGGTGTCAGCAGGGAAGAAGACCTGACAGAGGATGGCCTTGCCCTCCACAGTCACTATTTCTGCTCCAGCTGAGGCAAGCACTGAACCAGCACGGACCTGCTCCAGTTACCCGTGCTCAAGGCCAGTGTAGCGGCTCCTGGAGAACGGCTGCATCAAGGAGCCTGTGCTATGGCAAAGCCAGGTCTCTCTCGGGTGGCACTGCATCCAAACGCTTCCTGGGAGCCAACCTAGAGTCATCCCCTGTCCCTAGTAGAACCCAATTTAGGTGCACACAAGGAGTCATTTTAGGGTGGGTGGCAGGTTCTGTACCTCTGACAAGCTGCCGAGACACAGGAGTAAAGGCGATCTCGTCAAGATGCACAATGTGAACTCTGCTGTACATGACACATGCTGCCAGGGACTGGGCTAGGCTCCCGGATTCCCGACCCCAATCCTTCAGAAGCCCCTCCCTCCCTCAGCTTCCGCTGAGTGCTTAAGCGCTAGAGAGAATGACCAACTCTGAGGTAGGATGTGGTAGTCATGACTGAGCCAGGCGTCTCGGAAAGACCAGCCACGGTGTGAGTAGAAGCAGAGTGGAGTTTATTTGACACGTGTCTACAGATGCTCGTACAGAGTGAGCACCTGTAAAACTCAGCAGAGGCAGGAAGGTGCTTCCGTGACCAGGGGCTGTGGGTGGAGCCCGCTAACCCACACGCACTCTGGGGAGCCCTGAGCAGCAGGTATGGCCCCTGAATGGGATCTCGACCTCCAGGGAGGTCAAGCAGCCCATCTTCCACAGCAGGCGACAGGAAGCTCTGTGGAGCCTGCCAGGGGTGCGGACCCCACAAACATTGAACTTGGTTACCATGAACAAAGAGCTATTCTGATTTATTTTCATCGTGAGCCCTTAGCGTGCAGTAAAAAAAGTTCACTCTTTACACCAGCGACACGCTAGATGAACTAGAAGTGCCGACTACTGCCTTCACTCCCGTGTTTGGAACCGGGAAGCAGAGCTTTGGAGACCGACGCTGGGTCAGGCCCTAACTGGACTCAGCTGCCAGCGGGATCAGGCACCATGGAATGGTCGCTTGGTCTGTTCCCATCGCTGGGAGCTGAAGTACAAAGCTACAGGCACAAGGTTTGAGGCTAGAGGAAGGTAGAGAGAGCTGCCAAAACAGGACCCGGAAGGCCAGAGGCCAAGGCAAGTCAGATTGTGCCGCTAAGTCATTCTGCACAGGAACATTTAAACAGTGTATACATGGCTTGTCCATTCCTATAGAAAACACCAGGACATTCAGTTTAACTTCCTAGAAAAGGTGAACCCACCAGGCAGGGCTGACGTTTAACAAACAGTATAAAAACTTAGGAAACGTGATTTGTAAGCTCCCTTTCTTGGCTCTTAATACAAAAGTTTACCCCACACCGTTATGTACAAAGCATCTCCCCCGCACATGGTTCCTCGATCCAGTCGGGACTGTTTGAATATTTCTAAGAGGCTTTGCTGTCAGATACAAGAAGAAGGTACACAACTGCCACGTACAAAGTGAGCCGTACAAACCATCGCAAAACAGCAACTGTAAAATGTGTCAGACATCACCCACTTAATACCTTTGGTCTAAAAATAGCCACACATCCTTTATCAAGCAGCCACCCCACCCCGCCGCCCTCACCTAACCCTGGTGAGTTTCCTCAACCACCCTTCAGTCACGACTCCTCTGCACAGCACAGACTAGAGGTAACTGGGGTCTGTCCCGAGCGCCTGCGCCCTTCAGTCTCACGTCCCCACCAACAGTCACACACATCCCCGGAATCACAAACAAGATCCAAAGGTATCTGCACGCCCCCTCTATTCTGGACAGACACAAAACCTGCAGGGTTGCAGCAGGGAAACCGCCTGAGTCAGGCTGCGAACTCAGTGGTGTCTTGACCTGGAGCCAGTGTCTTCTGCCAAACGGTTCCTAACCACAGGGCAAGGCACCCCCTTGAGAAAAGAAGCCATGCAGAGACAAGTAGACCCTTAAAGCAGCAATGGCTGCAGCTTCCTGGGTCTGCTCCCTGGCCTGGCAGTGTGCCTGCCACACCAAGGGACCAGGGAGAGGCTCGAAGCACATTTCATCCCCCTTCCACTGCTGACCAGGGAGCTGTAGTACAAAACCCGCACACAGAGCCGACTCCCAGGAAAGCAATAGCGCCGCCTGCTCAGAGCACACGGGCCAGGGCTCAAGGACACCTGGGTGGCTGGCTGCCAACTACACAGTCCCCGAGCTGCCACAGTAAGCCCTTAAGGGAGTGTCACCTAAGAAGCCCTAGTAGGTAGTCAACACCCACAAAAATAAATACTGCAACAAAGGTTCTCACAAACACGCCAAACTCATTCATACTTTTCCTCCGAGAGCCCAGAAAGGCCGGCTCCAGGCTCTCACGAGGGGTGGGGCCCTCAGACACAGCGTGTTCAGAAGGGGTGCACATCTGGGTCAACACAGAAGCAATCCACTTTGTCAAGAAATATCAAAATAATCATCTGGCTTGTTACAAAAGTGTCTCAGACTCCAGGGGAGGTGGGAGCCGCCCAAAGCCTGCCCAGGGTCTGAGGGGGCGGGGCAGGAGCGGGCGGAGGGCAGGCTGCTGGCCTGCTCACTGGTGGAGGTGGGCCCGGTCATCTGGGCGCTTGATGTGGATCCTCCGCACTCGCTCGATCCGCTCCCGCTCCCGCTCCTCGTCCTCGTCCAGGTGATGAGAGCGTCCAGCGGCCCCGCCCGTGGCCTCCAGGAGTGCATTGTCAGGTCCTCGGCCATCCTGGGCCTCATACAGCAAGATATTCAGGGTCTCCTCATAAATGCGGGCTTCAGGGAACTCAACCTGTGCCCCCACAAAATACAGGGCAGAAGGTTAGCAGGCTGGACAGGGCCACCACCTCAGCCTGCATTCTCAGCAGGGCCTCAGGCTGCCCAGCTCCTATGCTGACAATGCAGTCCCGGGTCCACAGTGCAGCCCCATGCTTGCAAGCAGAGCCTGTCCTCAGGTGACATCTTCCTTAGGGCAGGGGTGGGGAGTCAGGGGATGGAGGTGAGGGCTGTGGTCGGAGCGGGTGGGAGAATGAAAGGCAGGGGAGCTGGCGGCCACCTGGGAAGAAGCAAAGTCCCAGCTTTCTGGGCAGGTGTGATGAGTGAGCCCAGGACAGTGAAGGTCTTGGGCAGTGATGGCAGAGGGCCTCAGAAGCTGTCCCTGAGTCCCTGGACTTACTCCAGGGGCAGGATCTGCTCCTAAACTCACACAGACCGGCAGTGGGACAGTCACCACCCAGACAGACAGCAGGGGTGAGAGGCCGAAGCTAGAACAGTCACAAGAGCATCAATCCCAAGGCTGGGTAGCATTTGTGACCCACATCCCAATGGCAACAGCCAGACACCCCAAAACAACACATCAGAAGCAGTGAGATGGCCCAGAGGGGAACACATCAGAGGCAGTGAGATGGCCCAGAGGGGAACACATCAGAGGCAGTGAGATGGCCCAGAGGGGAACACATCAGAGGCAGTGAGATGGCCCAGAGAGGAACACATCAGAGGCAGTGAGATGGCCCAGAGGGGAACACATCAGAGGCAGTGAGATGGCCCAGAGGGGAAAGGTGCCAAGCCCGACAACCCAAGTTTAGTTCCAATGTTCTGTCAGCTCCAGGATCCCATGGAACCCACATCTCCCAAAGCCTCAGGGGTGAGAGCAACCCCATCAAGTGACTGAGGGCCTACACACAGGGGACTAGAACCTTGGCAATCTGCTTGTGGCAAAATTAATGTCCATTTCTCTTAAGGTGAGAGAGAAATGACAGAATATGCAGCAAGGGGAGAGCGGGAAAGAGAGAAGCCACCCAAGTCCAAGAAGGGTGGGCAAGCAAGCCCAGAGAGGTGTGATTCTGACAGCAGACTGGGCTCTGGCTCCCAACTCCAGGGAATCGGATACACCGGCACTCACGTGCAGAGACCACCCGCAGACATACACACCTACACATCATAATTCTAAAAAGCAATGGCGTGTAGGGCCTACATCAGACCAGACAGATCTGGGTCAGCAGAAGGGAGAGACAGGGGATAGCCAAAGGGAGTCAAGGGCCAGCTTTGGAAGGCAGCACAGGCCTCTGACCAGTGGGCTCTGATGAGGCCATGCTGGTGCAGAGTCCTGCCACCCGGAGCAGGGTGACCCAGCACCGGTGGTCAGAAAGAACTGAGATGCCAGAGGGAGAGGGCCCTGGCAGCGGGGCACCCAGGTGCAAGAGCAAACCTGAGTCTGGCCAGACTGCCCAGAGAGAGCCGGGAGCACGGCCCACTGTGCTCACCCAAGGTCAGCAGAACGGCCCCTTTCTCTGACCTCCACCCCTCCTTCTTGCCGTGAGCACGGCACTTACCTTGGTCTGCTTCTTCTCGGTGGCGTAGACAATGGAGGTGCAGCAGACCTCAGCGATCTTCCGGCCCTGGCCGTAGAAGGACCAGCAGCAGATCTCATCCCCGATGACATCCTTTATGAAGAGGACCCTCCCGTTAAAGCGCAGGGAGAGCTTGTCGAACAGTTCGATGTTCTTCAACATATTGTCGTCAGAATTGCTGCAGGAGAGCATCGTGGAGGGTGAGCACAGCTGCGACAGCCGCTGCCGTCCACCAGTGCTCCTGCAACGGGCGGAGCCCTCCCAGCTCCTTCTCTCTATCTCTACCTATAGTGAGCCCTGGAGAAAGGCACCGTAGTGCCTACTGCTCGAGAAAGGAAATGAAAGCCCAAAGACACTGTCCAAGTCCATAATGTACAGATGACAGAGCGGGGTCTCAGGGACAGCTGTGGCCCAAGGGCTGTGCCCCTAACCCATGGTTGCACATCTGCCCTACCTACACCTAAGAAGACCACCGACCACAGAGCTGCTGGGTGCAAGCTCCTGAGCCACCCTACCCTTTCCCTGCCAGGCCCCGTGAGGTGCATATGCCCAAGGAAGACTTGTTGACCCTTGGTCAGTCTGTGGGTTCTTGATGACCTTGTTATCTCTCTCCGTCCCTCAAGCTGCTCATTTACAGAGCGTGTTCTGAGAGCCAGAGGGCCCTCTAGAAACATCCACTGCCGTGGGTGCACTGCTCTAACAGCCCAGTCCCCGGAACTGAACCAGAGTCACAGGCCCAAGAAACAGAAGCACGGATGTCCACACAACCCTGAACAATGTTCACGGCTGCATTTATAATCGTCAGAAACCGCAAACAACCCAAGCACCCGTGCTGAGCGACAAAGCAGCGGTCGCCGTAAGGGCATGACTGATGGTACTCCAGGAAGCGCAGACCCTGCAAACCTTACAGTGAGGCAGTGAGGCAGGGATCAGTCACAGGATGCAGATCTTCTGTCACACGGCATGCTTGAACCAGGGAAACCCACAGACACACAGTGCAGGCTGGCAGCCTCCGGCGGCCGGGAAGATGAGGGACACCGCTCACTGGGTGTGGACCCGTACAACAGGAAACAGTGGCTTTTATGGCACGGGTGACCTCCACCCATCTCTAAGTTCCCCCTTGCTCCCCACCTCCCTACCCAGCTAAGGTGTGTTGCAGGCCGTGTGAAGGGACAGGCAAAGCCTGCTGCGCTTACCTGGTGTAGGAGTATTTGTTGTTGCTTCGGTTGTAGAGCAGTTTTACTGCTGGCTGTGTGGGAAAAAAAGAGGAGAGTGGGCACAGGCCAGCAGAGCTTACAAGAGGGCTGCTACATGTCCCAGGGGCAACAAGTGACATGGGGTTTGCCACTCAGAATGCCTGTTATCTCAAAACACAGGCACTGGGTACTGCCTCACCCCACCCTACCCCAAACACAGGTACACACAGACACCCCTTATATCCATGCCACAGACATCCCCAACATACACATATATTCCCCACACACACACTCCCACACTCATACACATAAGTACACACCGACACCCTCTAACCCCCACAGGTACAATGCAGACACCCCCACACGCATACACATAGGCCCACAGCCACTCACTCACATACACAGTACACACACACACACTCACACAGGTACACACAGACACCCACACCCTCACACACCGCCCCAGCCTTGGCACACCTTATTTGATGTCGCTATAAGCCTCTGTTCTTCCTTGGAGGATGTGATGACAGGAACTTTGCAGAAGGGTTCGTAAGTATCTTTGTTCTGCTGGAACAAAACATGCTTTCAGCCCAGGGGGTCTGCCTGGCCCAGGGCTGTCTAAGCTGGCCAGCCAGGAAGTCAGGCCCTGATGAGGAGGAAAGGAAGACACTTTGCACCTGTTAACTGGGAAGGTTTAGACTAGGGGAAGAATCCGGTCTTTGGGGCCGCAGTATGCTGGAATCCCCAGTAAACACCAGGATGGCACAGTTCTGTCTGCCTAGACTCCAAACCAAGCCCTCAACGTAGCAGGTGATCACAGGGGAGCTGCTCCAACCCCACTGCAGCACAGCAGGGGATGGGAAAGGAGAGAGAACAGTGATGTCAAGAACACAAAAGGAGTCAAAGGCAAGCAGACTCCAGCTGAGTAGAGGAAAGAGGCAGAGACAAAGCCTGTGTGACAGAGGAAAGACGCCCAGACACTAGAGCCCACCCCTCCCCAAGCAGGAGAAAGGTCTGCACGCCTCCGTGAGAGGCAGAGCAGACAGATATGTGTCACTCTTCTGAACACCTCGCAAGTGCCCCAGCCTGCTCAGCCCCACATGGATGGCATCTAGCCACGCTTACACCCCAGACAGAAAAAGTATAGGCCTCACAACTCCTCATCCTCCTGCCTCTGCCTTCTGAGTGCCTGAGTTCCAGGCCTGGAGGACCCTTTACAGGGTAATATCTTCCCCCACGAGGCTTCCAGTGAAAAAGTCAGTCTATCATCCAACCATGAAGGCCCCAAAGACAAGGCATCCTGGCCCCACAGATGTAGCTTTTTCTTAGGCTGAAACAGAAGCCAAGGATCACCCAGTTCTGCATAAGAAGTTTCTTAAATGACATCTGAACCAACACAAAGTGAAAACGCAAGGGACCGTCTCTCAGGGAACAGACGGAACACTCGGGGTGGTGTTCGGGCAGCCCAGGAGAAGGACAGGACGAGGAGGCAAGTTCTACAGGCTGAACCTCTCAGATCTATAGACAGGGAGCTGAGGACCCACCACCACATGAAGGTGACACAGGATCTTGGGCTACATCTGGACAGTGCAGCTTGGGGCTGGCCCGCCTAGCTGTGAACCTGGGGCCCCAGCAGGGTAGGTAAGTACTCAGAGGGGGCGGGGCTCCAGCAGGGT